TGGGCTTGGTCCATCACTCCAGGTATATATAACAAAATCATCGATCACTAATACAAAGAACACTTTGGTGGGGGAAGGGACACATTCCCTGGGGGGTTGGTGAAGAATCAATCATGGTTGCCTTGGAGACAAGCAAGAAATAAGGAACCAGATCTGTTGTGTTAACGCTTCTCACACAGAGTCACGTGGAAAATCAAGCTATCACCTTTATTGTAAGTAGCAGTGGTGCTAAATTGTGCTAAATACACAACATGGTGTGGACTCATATCAACACACTTCCTACTATTTCCTTGAAGCCTAGATTTTGAGATGACTGCCTAGGGGAGAATCTTCAGCTGCAGAGGAGAAACTCACCCACTTAGGTGAAGGAGATATTGCTGCTTTTCACAACTCTCAAGCTCCAAAAGTGAGGACACAGGGTGGTAGCCTTCCAGACCTACTTTAGGCCTGCTTCAGATGTGCTTTCCAGAAAAAGAAGGACAGTGCAAGGAAAACAGACCTGTCCCTTGGGCAGAACACCCCCAAAAAGGGAGGGGATAATCATGAACGCATTCCTTTGTCTAGGCTCAACTGATAAGCTCACCTCAACTTGGGGAAAGGTCAGTGAAGGAATTTCCCAATATTGGACAGTTGAGTAGATTTTCCAATGGAAACATGCCAAGTATAGGTCATTAGGTCATTGAAAGCAATGGCTCCAAAACCATTATTATCCTCACGAACAAATTTTCATTCTATACTTTGAGTAACGGGCCGAATGACATCTCCTCTGGCCAGACCAAAATCACTTTTCCTCATTTTCAGTGTGGCTTTACGATAAATTCCCACAACATTAGAGTCATGCTCCTTCCCCCCTTCAACAGAAAACCACATTGTACTCAGTAATGAACTCTCAAACAGCTTCATGTGTCCGTCCAACACCTTCAGTTGATGGCAAACTATGGCACCAGGGTCAAGTCTGAGCCTCCACGAGTTTTCGTAGATAAAGTATTACTGGTACACAGACATGTCCATTTGTTTAAATACTGTCTTTAGCTACTATCACACTATGATAGCAGATCTGAGTAGTTTCAACACACACCATCTGGCCTGCCAAGCCTAAAATAGGTATTATTGGGCCCTTTACAAAAACATTTGTCAACCCCCTAACACAGAAGAAGAAAAGCACTTTAGTCATTATTTATGCCACTAGTGCTTTAAGAAACAGATATGTAGCCAGAGTTTCTAAATCAGCTATAAGAAAATGAAAGTAAGTTCGTACTTTACCAAAATCTCACTAGTGGAACAAGTTGAGAAGAAGGCGAGTGTACATTTGAAAAAATTAGATAATAGATTACTTTCATACGCTTTTTTCTTGAATCCAAATGCATATAAATTCAAGCTGTTCAAAACAGTCTATTTCCAAGAGGCCCTGCCTTCTGAGTTTGATTTTGCCACACTCCAAAAACCACAGTTGAGCTACTTGCATTTGCAAGGCATGCCCAGCAACCTGTTGTGAAAGTCCTGGGGAGGGGGAAGTGTGCAAACACCTGCATTGTGACGCAGATGGTTCTGGGGGAAGGAATGGGTCTGGTTGATTCGGGAGAGCCAGAGAGCCGAGACCAAGATGGGATCAAAAAGTAATTAAGACTGTCTAGCTCTCAATAGGTGGAGGCACTCACTGTTAAACGTTCTCTTGTTAGATACATTCTTCCTATCTCATTAATAAGATATAATGCCTTAGCAAACCCTTTGTTAAGAAAAGGAACATCACACAGCTTATAAAATTGGATTGTACAAACATCTCTAGAGCCATCTGCCAAAAAGTGTCTTGTGTAGGTTGGTTGTTTGGGCTTTTTTGTTTGTGTTGTTATTGTTGCTGTTGCTTTGAGGGTTTTGTTGTTGTTTTTAACTCAGTAAAGATGTCTGGAAAATTGCTGAGCTTTCATTCAGCTGCTCCAAAGCTAACTTCAGTATTCTTAATTGCCTATCAACTGGCCAGAGTGTTTTATTGTAATTAGTCTATGTATGCATCATTAGACTCCTTAATGGATACTCTCAGAAGTCCATTTGTTAGGAAGGGATCCCTGTCTCTGGACCCTTTGTATTTTCTCACTAACAGTAATATACTTTTTGTAGGTGATTGAATGTCTTTGGCATTAAAAAAGAACACAACAAAAAACCCTGCCTCTGTTTAGACCTGGGCGATGGGTAAATGCGGGGATGGGGAATCACTTTATTGTTCTCTTTTTGTGTGTGTTTGAAAATGAGGGGTGCCTGGCTGGCTCAGTTGGTGGAACTGCGACTTTTGACCTTGGGGTTATGAGCTCTAGCCCCACATTGGGTGTGATGATTACTTAAAAATAAAATCTTTATTTAAAAATTTCAAAATGAAAGATGTTTTTAAGGGACTAGTGGACATAGGTAGTTGTGTAATGCAGGGATAGCCACCCCATATCCCTTTGGGCTCTGCCAACTGGAGCTCATCATTTCCATTAGTGGTCATTACAGATGGCAACGGTGCATGTAAACTGAAGACATTGAGAAGAGAGAATGAAACGTTGCTTCCTAATGCTTCAGGCCTTTGAGAGACACAACCAAACATTCAGTTGAAAATGAGAAAACATTCTGGGCAAAAATTGTATGCTAGTGTCCTTGCATATAGAGCTCTTCAAAAGAAAGCTATTATATAATAAGCTCTATCACTAAGCCACCCCTCATTCATTAACTACATTTATGAAGCTCCTATATGCAAAGCCCCATGCTAGACAGACACATAGTATTTGCCTTTGGCAAACTGGACAAAGAATAAAACAGATAACACCTAGTCTCTGAAATTTAACACTCCCTAGAGTCTTGGGTCTGTCCTTCAGTGACCACAAATCAGCTTAGTTCAACTCTCTTCAGGCCTAAAACCATTAACAGAAGACCTACTCTGTATAAGGTTCCTAGCTAAATACTAAAAATATAGAGGAAAAAAATAAGGCAGAGGCCCCATCCTTGGTCAATGGCAGCAGACATAACATCAACTCCTGAGCAGTGGAATTCATAGGTTCTGTGAGATCACAAAGACTTCCGGAATTAAATCTTGAAGAATGGTTAAGACTAACGGGTGAGAAATGGGAAGAAGCAAGAATTACAGAATAGCGTGGGAATATGTCAGGATTTTTTTGATACTAATACAATAGTATAAAATTATCACTAGAATATGAGCTCCAGGGGGTGATTTTTGTCTGGTATGGTCACAATGTTTGGCTCATAGTAGATGCTTATTATATTTGTTAAATGAAATAAATAAATGAATCCAACTGTGAAGTGTTGCTAAAGGTCAGAGCTTAAGGTGGAGAATAACAGTGAGGTAGACAAGACAAAATCAAGGAACCCCTGTAAGGACCTTGGATTTTATGGTGGTGGAGAAACACTGAAGAATTTTACAAAGAAGGAGAGCATGACTGGTTTGTGTTTTCGGGCTTCAGGGGGAGGAGGGAACTAAGGGGCACCAGACTGGAGACAGACAAGTTATAAGCTCTTATTAAAGTCCAAGGGAAAGTTGATGAAGTAAAATCCATGAAATCCGGTGGCAAATTTAATATCCCCTAAAGCCACCAGAATGGCTAACATGGAAAGGAACTGGCAATAAACACCAAGTGTAGTCAAGCATATGGAACACCCAGAACATTCATCCTCTGCTGGTGGAATATAAATTGATAAAATTTATATTTTATTGGAAATAAATATATTGGAAAACTGTTGGCCAAGTCTGGTCATTGAAGTGGCCAAGCTCTGCCTGTGTTCTTGCCAGGAGTTGTTGTGTTGATACCTGCTCTGGTCTCAGAGGATTTTGAAACTCCCTTCATGTCTATAGCCACCATCCAGCTGCTGTCTGACTCTTAGAAAAGAGACACTTTTGCAGCTCCTTTCTGACGCCTTCCTCCCCTGGCAGCCAATGCCAAGAGAACTATTTATAGAGGAAATGGGTACAAACCAGGCAACCCAGATAAATCATGAAATTCTGCACCCACACTTAGGTGACTCTATTCTCAAGACTCAAAAGAGCAATTTGCTGTTATGGAAATGGATTCATGAGCGAGCCGGTAAGTGAAATGGGATCAAGATGGAGTCACAAGTCTGGGGTTTACTTTCAAGAAATAGAATGAACCATGATACCCCCAGGCAGCACCCAGATAGAGTGATGCTGCCTGGAGAAGCAGAATCATTAGAAGCAGATATAGTTTCTTCTCTGCAATACACTGAGCATTGAAATTGTTCTAGAATTTTCCAACCCCTGCCCCAAAGGCCTAACACCATTTCTGGCTGCTGAAACCTCCCTTACTGGAAACTCAAATCTTCAGCCAATCCCAGCCTCAGTTTACCCACACTCTGCCTTCTCTACAACCACTTCATGTAATTGGTACTAAAGTGATAATGCATGGTAAGGGTCTTAAACTTCCGTATCTCACCAAATATAAGATGCCCATTGACAGATGCCCCATTAGATACTACTAAAAAGTGTTCCAAACAAAATATACCATCCACTATGAAATACACCCTGAGTCAGAGATGTGACAATTTGAAAAGAAAATGTGCTTCTTAGTGCCAATTAACTATAATACTATTACCTGTGGCAAAGTTCAGGGAATGGGAAATCACATATCATTTGATTTCAGAAAATCATGTTTATGAATTAACAAGTTCTCAAGACCAACACAAAAAGGCTCTGAGAGGTTTCAATGATTGAGTTTTCTCATTTCTAACATATTCTATGTTTGAGATATCAGTTTAGAAGAATATTAGGGAGAATTATATAAACCTGGCAAAATACTAGCATAAACAATTTTGAAAAGGTGCCAAATAATTGAAACATCATGAATGTAATGTGTTTGTTGTGTGTTTATATTTTAAGTATTTTTCAGACAATGGAAATGAGGATAACTTAACAAACAAAAACAAAAACCCCTCCAAGCTTTAACATCTTTGTGATATTTGAACCAATAAATATCTCACCTTTGTGTATTTGTGAACAGATTTTTGAATTTTGTGGAGCTGATGCTCAAAAGTTGGAAGCGAAGATTCAAGAATTAATGTAAGCCGATCTCCAAGACGAAATACATTTGCAACATTTTAAAAGGCCACAGCAAATGCGTTTGTGTTTTTTATTTGCAGCGAATATTGGAATGTTCGATCGGTCCCCCTTCTAATGTTTTACAGGTTGAACTCCACTTTCCTGCAATCTCATTCCACAATTGCTTGAAGCTTGAAGTACAAATGTATCACTCCCATTGTCTAACTTAGCTTTCCACTTACTTGAGCACATTTCTTAGGTGATGTTTTTATGACCTTCACAACAGAGGCCCTGCACAGCTAAGTCATACCATGCCATTGAGAAGGTTTTCCAGAGATCTCTGAAGATGGAACTCTTCACAGTGGTCAAGAAACAAATAAATACCGTATTGCCATGGTGTACTCCAGATAGGTAGAAGCCATTCTTTTTCTTTTTCTTTTAATGTAATGTTTATTTATTTTAGAGAGAGCATGAGCGGGGGAGGGGCAGAGAGAGGGAAACAGAATCTGAAGCAGGCTCCAGGCTCCGAGCTGTCAGCACAGAGCCCGTCGTCAGGGCCCAAACTCACAACTGTGAGATCATGACCTGAGCCGAAGTTGGACGCTCAACCAACTGAGCCACCCAGGAGCCCTAAGTAGAGGCCAGTTCTAATTGAGCCATCATTTGTGGTACAAAATTCTTCTCTGATGCATCCATTTAAATTAGAACGGTGTCATTTTTCTCTTCCCCACTGCCTTTCTAAAATTCTTCTAGAAATTAAAAAAAAAATCCACATATACACACACAAAAGCCAGAAAGTCTTTTTACTACCTGTGATGTTTTGTTGTTAACTGAGATAGCTCTGATGTTTAGGACCCAGAGAAGACAGTTCTTCTCACACTGACTACTTGGGGTTGCCATCGGGTGAACGCTGGGGATCTGAAGTCGTAAAGTCGAGCCAGCTTTCCCTAGCTGTTAATGACTGAGATTTTGACAAAATCCTAGAATTCTTTGGAACGTAGAGTAGAGGACACCAAGAGCCGCTAGCTTAAGAGAAAAGGGACACCTTTTAATCATTCAGTAAATACTTATTGAGCACCTACTCTGTCCCCAGCACTGCTACAGGTATCTAGAATAACACTTGATTCATAGAATCCAAAGATAGAAATATAGCCAGCTTCGCATGCAGTCAGCAACATGAACGGGATAGAGATGGGGAGCCCAGGGTATTTCTGTGTACTTCTGTCCTCTGCTTTTCAGTTTTCGTCTGAATCATCTGTCCATTGCTGTAGCTAGTTCTTCTTCATTGTTCAGTCTTCATTCTGAAATGTAGCTTCCCAGTAGAATGATGACTGAGATCTTAAGATGAGGAGAAGTGTTACTAAAATTGCAGGCCTCAAAGTCAAACAGACTCAGACCTCACAATTACAAGAGCATTTTGGTTCCAAAAAAGTTTTTGCCCCCCCCCCTTTTTTTTTTTTTTTTTCATAAAAATACCAAGTATTGTTAGTGATACTTTGCTTCTTTCTAGCCCAAACCCCCACTGCCGGGGGGTGAGGACAGACGGAACCTTCATGGGGTGAGGCAGCCGTGCACTCTGTTCGTGGGGTTCAGCTGTTTGTCTCCCTGGAGCCCAAATCAAGCCTGGCTTTTCTCTTTTCCACAAGCCTGCTCTCACCACAGGAACAAGGATGGAAGGTTCTAGGGCCCCTAATCTTTAAATCTTTGGGACCAGATGTGCTAAGTGCATCAGGCAGGACAGAAGAAGAGGGGCACCTCCCTGCACCAAAGCAAGAGCCCAGGGGCCCTGAAGCTGTCACTCATGCCCTGTCCCCAGACATGCCATTCTACCGTGCCCAGGTGAACTCTGGGTAGGGCTCCGACGGAGGCTAGGCCAGATGAGGTGTGAGGACTGTAGCCTGGAGTTAGCCGGCTCTAGAGGGCCAGGCTGCTGGAAGGGCAAAGAATATGGGCTAGGAAGCTGTTGGCCAGGCTGAGGCCCCTGGGGCCAGACCAGCACTGGCACTAGTATGAGTGAGTGAAGACGCCTATCAACTTGACTAAGGCCTTCACCCATCCCCAGAGCACAGGCCACTGTGGGGGAAGATGGCTGGGAAATCATGATGCAGCTGGTGACAATGGAAAGGTCCAGTTCTCTGTGTGAATGTGTCATAGGTACAAGTCCTGTGAATGAAAGTCAAGGACACTTGTACACCAAAGTCAACTCCTACTAGTCGCTGGCCTCTGGAAAGAGCAGCCTGAAAAACGTCTCTAGAGTGGAGGACAGGGTAGAGGATGAGTTCCATGCCCAGAGATGGATGGATTCATTCTGGCAGCCTCGGGTGTGTTACATTCTGTAGCGTCTCTGTACATGTTGGAGTGGGCAGAGGTTTCATTTTTTTCATTGTTATTTCAGGCCCGCCATATCATTTTGACGATAAAACAGGACACGTCAGAGTTCAAGAGAATTCCCTGGAGACCAGTCTTCTGCGTCCCATTTCAGCAGGCAAGGTTCCTGTGTGACTTCTCTTGCCTAGAAATGGAAAGAGTCCATGCTTTTATAATGTCCTTTCTATTTTGATAGGACAAGAGAACGGAAGTCACTTAATTTTTGCCTTGTGTTCTATTTCTGAGGTGCACATTTTTACCAATGCAGTATTTGTTTAGCAAGCGCTAACATGATTTTCTAGCTGAGGCATGATGCAGTAATGGTTCATAAAATGCAATTTAGTGGGTCAGCATTCTCTTAAAACAAAGCAAGAAATGTCAGAGTATATTTACTATAGCAATGGTAACCATCATTTCATGGAACTTGTTCAGCTATATGTATATTTATACTAGGGTCACCATGTAAAATATGTTTCTCAGAGTAGGTTCTGGTGGGTCACAACTGAAAGCCATTGCCTGAGGGTTTCATCTTTGTCAGGGGTGACATGGTACTCAGGTTTGCAAAGTGAGGTTCTGGGACCAGGAGCGTCCCCTGGGAACTTGTTAGACATGCACATTCTCGCACGTAATCCACATCCTGAATCAGAAGCTGGGTGGGGTTGGGGAATCATGAGAGGAATCCGGATTATTCTGATCTACGCTGACGTTGAGCACCACTGTTAATGTACATCAAGGGACCAATTGCAATCATTATTGAGGCAATAGAACCAAAGAGGAAATGGGGAAAACAAATTGCAACTCTTGATAAACGATGAGGCTCAAGAAGTCCACACACTATTTCATTTGATCTTCAAGGCAGTACTGTTCTCAGTTTACAAATGCAGGGAGATGAAGTTCTTTGCCTAAGGTCACACTGCTAGTAACTGATTGCATCCAAATGTGAACCCAGGTGTGCTAGAGAAAATTAAAGGAAAGATGAACTAATAAAAGATTCTCTCAAGGCAAATAAAATCCACTGCCTTGGTCAGTCCTTTTATTGATGTCATACAAGCCCCTGCACCCTGATCCAGAAAATGGATTTCAAAGAAATTCCCGTCAACGAATAGTCCTCTCTCCCAGAATGTTGCTGAAAATGCCAAGTTTTAGACGTATCACGGGTACTCGCTGTTTTAAAAATCTTGAGCCCTTCTGTTCTCATCAAATTTTTATGGGCACATATTTGGGATTTTCATGTTGGTATCCTCTTAAAAGGAAGCATCCATCTGACTATATTTCTTGTCAGGGCTTTTAAGAAAAGGAATATGGGACCAGATGGGAATGAGAATGAGAAGTCGGAGAAGAGCAGCCGGGGAAAGAGTTTGAGCAATATACTGGACTCCTGCAAAGCCACTGCTCTCCCAGGCAATCCTTATTCCTTCTCCCAAAGAAGGTGGAGCTTTCCCCCAGAAAGCCCCATAAGGCTGAAAAGATTCAGCGGGAGTGTGCCACCAGGTAAGAGGACAGCCTCAGCTGGGATACCTTAGCCCTGAATTTTCTAAGCTTTGGTCATCCACATGCCACTGTTATTATCAACCTATTTACTTCTTGTATAGGAATAAATTCATTTTGCAACAAAACTTTTTGTCATCAGAACTTAAATGGAAGATGAATATTGTTCTCAGAAGTGGAAGAAAGCCTTCATAGACAAATACATTGAAAAGAACTGATTTTTGTGGTTTGTCAAAGATTCAAAGCCTGAATGATCTCTTCCCCGCCCTCCCTTTCTCTCCTTCTCCCTCTTCTGTCTCCTCACCCTCTCTTCCAACACAAAGAACAGCTATTAGGTGTTAATAGCTGTTAGGTGTTAATGGAACAGAATCGGGGCCCCTGGCTTGGCTCAGTTAGAACAGCATGCGACTCTGAGCATCATGAGTTTGAGCCATGTTGGGGATAGAGGTTACCTAAAAAAAAAAAAAAAAAAAAAAAAAAAAAAAAAAAAGGGATAGAATAACACCAAATCAAGACTTTCATCTTGAGTAATAAGAAATAATTGAAAGCCAGTAACAAAAAGGAACCAAGAAGAGATATATGGGAACGCACTGTACTTGCTTAATGTCTCTTAAACCCCAAGCTGTTATAAAAAATAAAGTCCGTTAATGTTTTTAAGTTGTACACATACAAATAAAATTAAGAGCTTTAAGTTGGAAAAAAGATTCCCACCCTCCCTTGTGCGAGTCAAGGCTATTTAATGCTGCATTCCCCATACTATCCCAAATCATCAGAAATTACTACCTAAAATTACCTCTCACAGTAACGTTGGTCCATGGCCCACATTTTGTGAAACCCTCCTTAGCCAAAATCGGAGTATACAAAAAAAAAAAAAACTTTTTTAAAGTATTAGATCGGGGGGTTTCCTGTTGATGCCAGAATGAGGTTCTGAATCATTTGTCTTTCTGCCGAAGCCCTTCATGACCTGACCCTCACGTTCATCTCTGCCCTTCTCCCCTTGCCCACACACCCCAGGCATTCTGTCAGACTCTGTACTCTTCCTGGAATTTCCTTCCCTGCATCTTTGCCTGTCAAATCTTATTCAAGATCCCCCAGCAAATGTGTTATTCCTTTAAGCTGGCCCACACAGTCTCATGAAGCTTTCCTTGGCGGTCCTCTTATGTGTCTGTG